ATGACCCCACTAGTCCAGTTACCCACATTGGAGCCATGGATGTTTGTACTTATTTTGTTCAGATTGTCCCACTCAAGATGAAACCCATTGTTGCCCTCACCAGTAATAATTTGTGGACTGAGAGAATAGAAAATCCCATCTCTCCTGGATTTCTTTTTTGCTGGATCAAACTGTTTATACTCACCATTATTTTCTTTCTTGTGTTTCTTTGGCATTATTAGCAATAATCAGCCTATATTTATAGAAACTTTTAACATCCCTTATTTTCAACATTTCAAACTGATGAAAATTAAATAACTGTCTAAACCCTTATACCAACGCCTACAATAAATAAGCTAGAATAATTTAATGGTGTAGTTTAGAATTTGATAGAGTTGATAGTGCTTAGAACCAGTGCTAATGCTAGCTTGTAAATTTGCAAATGTGTGTCGACATGCAAGATGGCTGACAAAATCAAATCCTGGCAAATTGTTTTTAATTAAAAAATATCTGTAGCCTATAAACCATTTTGTAGTTAGAAATTATCACAATTGCCATACATGAAGCGGGCCGACTTGACACATCATCCAGATAAGCTGAGATTGCCATGGAAATGCAATTGTAATTGCACGACTATTGATTTTACAAAATTTTTCTATTTATTTGGGTGACAATGCTTCATGAATCCTCCAGTCATGTCACTACCCATCTCCATTAATACCTCATGCCAAAATGGAACCAAAACTGGGGTCATTTGCCTCTGCACAATGTCTAGTTAAGTCAATATGTTGATATAACATTCTCTTTTTTGCATTTGTGTAAATCCAGGATGGCAAACAAAATGGCACAATAAACATACATGTGACAAAATTTCAAGTGGATATCATCAACTTGTGTTTACTATGCATGTTGAAGATTATAAATATACAAAGCTTTGAAAAAAATATCAATAGGGTGTACAGGGGAGTAGTTCCTGCGATTCAGTTTAGGTGAGTTTTAGCATTTTTTTTAGTGTTTACTCCAGCTATTATGCATCAAACATGATATAATCATAGGAATCTTTTTTCCAACCAATTACCCATGAAAAGACAAAAATAAAATGGGGTGAATGGTGTCTGTGGGATGTACAGTTTAGGAGCTATGTTGATTTAAAGTTTTCATTTTTCACAATGGAAAATCCAGGTCGGCCATTAAAGATGGTCAATAAAAACATATATGGGACAATAATTTGCTCTGGGGCCAACACAATCCATTTACTAGACACCCAAGGAGTACAAAAAGTTAGGTTGAAAAAATATATCTTTCGGGTGCATGGGACCCCCCCCCCCCTGCTAGATTACATGTCAAAGTTTGTTGTGAAAGCTGATGTGTTTAATCTCAGAGGTCATCTGCTGCATATCACTGAATCCTTTCAGCTTAGTGGGTCTGCTGTCCCTTCAACAGTTGTGTGGTCACTCAGATACAACTAGGAGAGTACATGGTCATTACATGTTTTCACCTCACACACAACTCTGATACCTCTCTGCTGGCCCAAGAAGACTTGGTTTGCAGAAATGATGTCCCTGTTGGACAGAGAGCAATGGCCTTCTCCAGTAAACAAGGATTGCTCACCCATGTGCACACAGACTAAGAGTGTGAAAAACCACAGCATATTTATAACCACAGGAGAACAGGGCCTCCTGGGGATTCAACAATCTATTTGGTCTTGACAGGAGGTTGGAAGAAACTTATTCAGGTTGGTCACATGAGGGTAAAACTCTCATGTGTTGTAACTTGTTTCCCTCCCTCAGGGAACATTGGTTATATTCATAACCTCCAGGTTTAAGGTTTAAGTTTCATCTGAACAAAACACGACTTTAGAAACAATGTATTTTTGCTCACTCGTCTGTTGTTTGAAATTTCCTCATTTTAAAAAGATATTCTGAAGATATTGAAAATGGGCTTCTTTTTAAAGGAAATAATCAATGGGCCTCATGCAAGAACCGTTCGTACGCACAGATTTGTACTTAACTTGTGCGTACGAGTGATTTAAGAGAATTTGTGGCATTCACCAATGTTTTCTTATGCTGCGTTCATACCGAACGCGATTTCAGCTTCAAAATCGCAGCCAACGCTGAAGTTTGAAGCTTGTGCACTTTGAGGTCAGACACAGGACAGCTGCGCTGCACGGCAACAGCCTCCCTGCCCCTCCCTCCTCTGTCGGGCTCTGTTTAATGTCGGACGAGGAAGTGGCTTTGCTTTATTTACAGAGAGCAAGAGCATGTCACGTTCATCAGATAATTAATTCATAATTAATTCACCAGATAATTCAGAGTAGAGGCTCACAGCTCGCTTTCAGGACTATTTTTCCAGTCTGATGAGTCGCTGCCACGCATTGCTGCGGATCAGGACACGACTGCAGGCACTCATTTCAGCTAAAGAGCTCCTCTCCATCTGTTTCAGGTTAGTGGACATCATTCAGTAAACTGTCCCGTCGGGAAATATGTCACTACGTCACACAGTGGAGTCTCTCTGATTGGTTGATGCTGCGCGTCGAGCTGCAAAAGTTCAGATTTTCTAACTTCAGCGATTTGCGCCTCAGCGCGTTGAACGCTCAGATCGTTCAAATCGTTCAAATCACTCTGCTCTAATCTCGCTTGAGGCGCCGCAGAACTTCCCAACGTTGCTTGAAGCGCGTCCACCATAGACTTTGCATGTAAACCTGCTGCTCCTGACGCTGAAATCGCGTTCGGTGTGAACGCAGCATTATTCTAAGATTTTTTTCAGATACGAACAAAATTCACGAGTGGTCCAGACCTGTCGTATATTTTACGTACAGTCAGTCTGCTGTTATCCAGACAGATTTTCCTCCCTAATAACTTTATATTTTGTTAGTTTGAAGATATTTTGAGTTGAAAATAAATCACACTCCATAATTATGTTGACAATAGGCTATTCTGCTTGAATTAGAGTTATAATTTTAAATGTAATAATTTAGACTAACAATATACAGTAAATTGTCCGTCCGGCCGGCTTATCCGTGATCAGGTCGCGGTGGCAGCAGCAGAGAGACCCAGACTTCCCTCTCCCCAGCGACACCCTCCCTGTCCTGGGGGACTCCGAGACGTTCCCAGGCCAGAGGGGATACATAATCCCTCCAGCAAGTCCTGGATTTTCTCCAAAGTGCCAGACATATTTTGAAAACATTTTAAAATACTTATTTCAGAACCGCAACTGAGACCACCTGCGACCGCGCAGCGCAGGGTGGGGGGTACGGTGCGCAGCGCTGTGTCTTCTGAATAAATGAAAATTATTTAACACAGTTGTTTATACTTTTAGCAGCTATTTTTATTCCACAGCTGACCTGCTAAAAATGACAGATTTTCTTTTCTGGATCTCTGACAGACGGACTTCAATCTCTGAACTCGTAAAGTTCTGTTTAGTTTTCGGTGTCATTTTTCATGAATGAACACTTCTGATATCTGAGGCAGGAAACATAGCCTTATATGGTGTTTTTGGGGTGGTAATTATGCTAATCTCCTCTCGCGTGCAGAGCAGCTGGATAGAACAGGTGGAAATTACGCAGCTCATTTACACCCTTTTCCTGAAGATAGAAGAGTTTGTTGAATCTGATGTGACATGTTCGTACGAACCCTTTGTACGAACAAAAGTAAGAGAAATTTAGGAGAAGAATACAAACATGTTCCTGCATACCTGCTGCAGATGGCTTTTTAAACCAACCAATATAGTTTGTTTAGAGCAGCAGAATCCAAGTCTAAAATCTGATGGGCTAACAGCTAGGAGCTAAAGAAAAGGAGTTTCTAATTAAATCAGAAGTAATCAATTTATTCACATGGGTCCGAAAAACAAAACAAAACAAACAAACAAAAAAAAAAACAATACTGCTTCCAATAAAGGTTGATTCGAGTGAGTGTGTGGAGGTCAGACAGTGGAGCAGGTTGTATTTGTGGAAGAAGAACTGAAGGTTTGACTGTGAAGGAGAAACATAATGAAGCTTTTAAAGGTAGAAATTTTAACTTCTGCTAACAGGAAGAATGTCGGTCAGACACACTCCAGTGTTGCTTCAGCTCTGGGTGCAGATTTGTTGTCAAGAATAAAATGAATATTTTAAGACATATTTTACTTCTTAAAAAATCAAAGGCCTAGCACTTTTTTGAAAGAATGTATATCACATAATGCATGTATAAAAGTTAGTAAACTTTTATATCAAATTTCTAAACTAAGATAATCTTTTGTTGGAAAATGATGGAGTTGTAGCCATTAAAATCAAACTTGGAAATAAACATGCAATATCACGAGTATGTGTTGTTCTTAACTCTCAGCCATTACATTAAATGTTTGTTCAATTCTGTAAAATTGATTGAGTTATAGCTATCTTTGTGTTATGCTAATGCTAATTAGCTGTAGTGGTCATTTTGAATTAGATTGACTCCAAAGGTCTCTGGTTGTAAATATAAACACAATGATTACTTACATTTAAATCCGATGTATGTTGGAAAAGACAATCAGGGTGGACTTCCAAACGTTAAAGGCAAAAAAAAAAAAAAAAAAAAGAAGAAGTGACCTGTAAAAGTGTTTGGGATCAGTCTCAGCTACCACCACACCAATATCTAGATCAATATCTCTAAGTGTCTGATTTGTAGCTGTCCTTGGGATTTTAAAGTCAGTTTTCTGTGGTGAGTATTTTCAATTGGGTTGACTCCAAAACTTAATAAAAATGCACACAAAGTATGTGATGACATTATGATTTCACACACACACACACACACACACACACACACACACACACACACACACAC